TTGGCCTTCCTGCTGCTGCCACTTGATCTTGTTGTTGTCTCCCCTCATTATTTAGGTCTACCCTAGCAAAGCAGGGAATAATGCTGCCTCCTCACTGTCAGTGTAGTGTACCAGCCTATGTCCTTGTCAGACCTTCAGCTGTGTAAGAGTCACGAAGGCACAAGGTCTCTGCTGATTCCTTTTAACTACTATCTGCCACCCAGCCTCTATGATTTCACTCATTATCCATCTCTGTCAAAGTGTCCTTCTTCTCTTGCCTGCCAGTCTTGGACTTTCTCTTCTGATCTGTGTCAGGGCAGCGTCAAGCTGCTGGATGACCCTTTCTCCCATCTCCCACAGCCTTTGCAGATATACCTGCCTCTCAATGCTGTTGGGAACTCTGATCATGGGTAGTGTTTGGGACCTTCTGCACTGTAAGATGAGGGTACAGTTCCTGCCTCTTTCTACAACTTATTCACCAGCTCACATCTGTCCAGCTGACATCTCTGTGAGCAGCAGCTTCTTGGAAACACTGTGTGGGGCAGTTCCTGTACTCCCATATGACTACCGCCATGTGGCTTTAGTTAACTGACTGGTATTCTTGTAACTTGGCTTTCTGTCTCTAAAGCATGAATGATGGTGCCTATTTACCCTGTTGCATAAGGGTGACATGAAGCTGTAGTTAATATTCACCTCATGCCATGTGAAGGCTAGGATCTAATCTGCCAGAGCTGTCATCTGCAGCCCTGAGTGATGTTTTCAAGGAGAGAAAGAAAAAAAAAAAAGCTCCAAAGCCCTTTAGAGCTGTTTCCTTGCAGTCTTCTAGACGCAAGTGCTTTCACTGCATTTTAAAAGTGCATCTAATGCCACAATGTCTCAGCAATGCACATCAACAACTAAGAAACAGAGCAATGAGCCCAGAAGGGATACTCTGTTCTCCACCCAGCTTTGGATTAGCCAAGATGAAATTCACTCAGATGAGCAAAGTAAAAGTGTGGTGAGACTTGCGAAAAGGAAAGCCCAGATGCATGCAGTTTGGGAATCACTAACTTCATACACACAATTGTCTTTGCTCTTCCAGAACCAGGCACTGTGTGAAAAATCTGGATTTCTTTCTGTGCCAGGAACACCCTGATTGTGAAGATCACTCTGTGTTTACTGCCTGCATGTTTTGTGGATTCAGGTTTGATCCTTTGCACTGAAGTAGCCAGCTCTGGGGATGATGCAAGTGGAAGGTACATAAGGTTCTCTGACATGGTCTTGCCTAAACAGCTCAGTGGCAATTCACAGCTTCTTCACTACAGTACTAAGCTGTGATCCAGCTCTCCAGACAAAGGCTGTCTTCCCCTGCTACCCTTCTCCTCTCTGAATGGCAGTCCAGTGTGTTTTTCCCTCAGAAAGCTACACACCCTCTGGGTCCAGCCCTGTTCTGGAGGCACTTGCACTAGCACATGCAGTTTTCCTTAATTCAGCATTGCAGGAGGCCCCAAGACTTCTGAAAACAAGAATTAATAGTAGCAAAAAATTCTGCATCTGTCAAAATTCCATGGAAGTGGTGTTGATAGCCTAAAAAGCCTATATCTGTGCAGAGGAGCATTTCTTAATCTATTACTCTTTACACTATAAATGCCAATTTAATGAGAAAGCAAAGCTGGAGTTATACAACACTCTAGGATGTATTTTGCTCATTAAGTATGAGTGATCTATACAGCTGCAAAATGGTGCTAAAACTGAATTCCCATTAGGATATAAAGGACTGAAAATTGTGCAGTAAAGCCATGCTGGTCCCTGCTGCAGAAATCTTATCCTCCAGTTTTTGTGTTTTTTAATTTTAAAAGCCCCAGAGTAAATCCACCAAGAGCTCACCTGCCCTGTTTGGTTGGGCAGCCAAGCCGAGCAGGGTCAGCTGCAAGAAGAATACAGGCTGTTGGCTGGGAGCTGCAGATCAGGATTTTGCAGGAAAGGAGAACTGAACCCTTTGCTTTCAGTGTGGCAGACTGGTCTGAGTATCACCTGGGCAGCTGAAATAGTCTCTCTGGGTGACGGCACAGCTGGGACACTGCTAACCCTTCATCATACACTGTCAAGGACCCACAGGCAGGGATGCAGAGGGCAAACTACCTCCCAGCATCACCTTTCACAGTTTAATCAGGCAGAGAAACCAGGCATAGCCTGGGCTGGATCTCTCCTACTTGCTTCAGCTGTTGGATTGAGTTTGCTGTGCTGCAATAAGCTTTCTCCTTCCATACTTCTTTGTGGACTCTGCTTCTGGCCTGTGTCGAAACAGGAGTGCTTAAAGGAATGTATCTTATGCTTTATGCTTTATCAGTTCACGGGTGGCTCTGGTTTGTACTTGCTGGATGTTTTGGGACCCACAGAGAATAGATGGGAACATAACTACAGTTAGTTTGTTTCTTACCCACTGGTTTGCTATTTGGACTCAGTGCATGGTCCAGCTCCAGTATTGCAGGTCCTCTCCATCTCCCATACCACATCTCCGTAACAGCCCAAATGTAATTAAAACCTGGCAGATGCTCCAAGCTCTCTGTATTGGGCTGAGCTGATGCTCTAAGCTCTCTGGCTAGGCTTGTTAATTATCTCCCGGACCCATGTGACACGCTGCCAGAAAGCGGAAATCGCATTTCAGAAGAGAACACAGGGGTCCTGCATCAGCTCTGTGAAATCCAGAAGCCAAAGCCCCGCAGACAGCAAAAGCGAGAGGAGAATTCAGTTCCTGAATGGGGTCTCCATGCACTGATTCCTCCCTGCTGTCCCGAATCCCCATTAGATTTTAGAAATGCCTTCAAAGTATTGCTGCTACACCCATGCTATCTACAGGACCTTGATGGCACGACGCGTACAAGCCAAGAGCATGAGTTCAGAAACAGAGATCATAGTAAAATACTCCCGCTAGCAGACAGAGAAAAGTGGAGAATTCAGATCAGGTAAAAACAGCCTGGCTGGACAAAATTAGGCCCTGATATCTCCAAATGAAGCAGCTATTTTTTGCCTTCCTGATACTGACAACATCCATTTTCTTGCAGCGGCCTCAGATGCCAACTCTGCAGGCGCTTTTTGCCGCATCTCCAGTCTTAAAAGAGGAAGCTCTGTTGTTTAATATTTAATCAAAATTATGTTGTGCCTTATGTAACACCTTGCAGCTGGGCCTGGCTGACAGGCTGGGCCACCCACTCTGGACCTATATTTCTCTCCATCGCACGTTGCCTTGTTGCCCTCTCCCTGCTTGTGCTCACAGATGCTCTGTACCTGGCCAGTACTTTGGGTGTGACCCCTTTGTGTGGGATTTGGGCTCATGGGGCCCAGAGCTCTTCCTCTGGGCACAGACCTCCTCTCTGTGTTTGCAGCAGGCAGTCCTCTGCTCTCCCTGAGCTGTGCAGAGGGAACACTTCCAGTTTGGCTCTCCAGCTTGGAGTCCAACTGGAGAAGAGGTTTTTTTCTGCCTGCAAACAGGAGTCGGAAGCAGAGGGTTAAGTTAGCAGTGGGGAGGGATTTTTCACTTGGAAAACAAGAATGAGGTGGGTTTTAGCAAGAGGGAGCTTGGAAAGGAAGGGAGACAGCCACCCCCTAAAGAGCTCTCCCTGTCTCCAGCACTTATCTTTAAGCCTGTCTTATCTTGAGAGGGGATGGGGATGAGGTCAGACCTGCTCTCTATATCCTGCATCTCCAGCGCTCTGCACGATCCCATAGGGAAAACACCATCCAACAGAGTGGGTCTGGAAAAGGACTTGCTCAGCTCTGGTCCCTCAGTCTTGTGCTGTGGTTCCCATCTGCAAACCAGCACAAACAGTCCTGCCTGGTGGGGTACTGGAGATGGGAGCACTGCAACTCGAGTGCTCAGACTCAATGGTAAAGTGGGTCTGCAGGTGTGAGAGGCAGATGGCCTGGAAATCATGGTATTGGGGATTTTATGCCTTAAGATGCACTGGGGATCTGCCTCTGAGTCAGAATGAAAGGTATGATGGAAATGTCAGTTCCCATGGGGGATTTTAAGTTGCTGGCACATGCATTAAATACTCTGAAAGTCTCAGAAAAGCCCAAGGCCATTCTCAGAGCGCTGCCAATTTTGCATTTCTTTTTACCCAATCCTGCATTTATTCCTGTGAACCTAACGGGGCTAACATGAGCTTCTCTTTTCTTAGTCACTTCTCTGTCTTTTCTTCAGCACTGATGATCTGTGTCACAGGAACAGGCTTTGCTCAAAGAACATGAGGAGAGAAGGGGTGGATTTATAAGAAGCAGGGATTGCTCTTTATCTGGTTAGAAAAACCAGCAAGTGTCAAGGAGAGAACAAGTGTGGGTGTCAGAACATGTCTGTAGTAGTGGAAAGCAGCTGCCATCCAGTAGCTGTCTGTGGCCAATGTGCCTCAAGTCATATTCCCTGTGTGTGAGGCTCTGCATCATCTCAGGTCCTTTGCCTGGTCCTGGCAGAGAGGTAGGAGGCAAGTAAGGATGGTCTGGTCACTGCTCTGCCAGCCAGTCCAAAGTGGTTCCTACAGAATGGGGTGATCAGCTTGTGATAGTGCCTCATAATGGGAGACCTTCTCCAAAGTGTTACTAGAATAACCAAGGACAAAGCAGAATGCAGAGCTGGAGGCCAGCTCAGCTTGGCACATGGGTGTGTGTATCTGCAAGGCTGCCAGCTTTGCCCATGCTCCTCCGAGGGCCAAACGCCCTGCAAGGCCTGCCAGGAGGGTTGTCAGCACTATGCAATCAGTGGGATTGATCTAAATGCATTTAGGAGAGGTTGAAAAACTGTAAGACTACAAAAAAAGGTGTAAATAGCAAACCAGATCGGGGAGAGGCAGCGTTGGCATTGACCCTGCACCATTTGGCTGAGGTTTTCTAAGAGACCGAGCAGAGGCTGCCATGCAGATTTTCAGCCCTGCCTTTCTCTGAGAAGGGCAGTAGTGGCAGACTGAGATGGTGCTTGGCTGCAGCACAGTTTCTTCTGGCAGATCCCCCTCTCTGCCCATCCACACTGTCCCCAACAGGCTGCTTACCACACTTGGGACTTCCTCCGGGGCATGCCATGCCGGTGCCATTTGGAGTGGGGGGTTAGGTGGTAAATCAGCTGCCTGCAGATCCTGTCCGAGGATTTCCAGGGGTCATATTCCTGAAAGCAAAGGGAGAGGTTAGCCTCTATGTGCACCACAGAACAGGAAGCAAGGGGGAAAGGAGAGGAAGATTGAAAAGGATCAGAGCAGCTAGTGGAGCAGGGGAATGTATATAGGGGAGGAGATGAAGAGAAGAGGAAAAGATGATGAAAGAGGAATGGTGAGAAGGCCTGAGATGGCTCTGTGCCATATGCCATCTCCTCCTGGGCTGGAGAAGGAGTAGCTCTGCACTGCCAGGAAGGACTCCAGCCCAGCCGGCATGTTCCTGCCCAGAGTGGGGCTACAATTTCACACTCTACCAAGGAGCAAGTGATGCTCAGAAGAGGGAGTTGTTTTCTAGAGCTGTGGCAGCGGGTCCTGCTCTAGCCCAGGCAACACCCAAGAAGGCAGGGGTGGCTGACAATGCAAGAAGGGCTCTGTGCAGGGACCCCATACACCCTTTTCTACAAAAGATCTCTGCTTTCAAAAAGGCCAGCTTTCAAAAGGGACAGCATGGGTGTCTCAGCTCCTCACTGCTGTATCCTCAGCAGCACCCATTCCCAGCTGGACAGACAAGCTGCCAACTCATTGTGTTACAGGATTGTGCTCAATGTCTATCTCCTTTGTGGCCGTGCTTCCCAAACTCTAAGTGCATACTGTCTTTAGACTGATAATCTGTTCCCCTCATGGAAAGTTCAGCAGTCAGCACCCTTGCCCCATCTCCCAGCTGCTTCTTGCTGGGAGACATGTGCCCTGGGACATGCCCACTCCTCCTGCAGCAGCACCCTCACTCTGTTCCCTCCCATGCTCCAGCTGGGAGATGCCAGGACAGGGATCCAGCGAGTTCCTCATATTCCATCTTACTTCCTTGCAGTCCATTCTGCTTCTGGAGGTTTGAGTTTGGGAGCTTCCCAATGCCAGCAGTTCCCTCCTGCCCCTGCAGTAACTGATCAGGAAAAGATGGCACCATGATGGTTGCTACTTTCCCAGGTTTATTATTGCACACATTCTCTATCGCTGTGACTTTGAACAGCACCTCTCTTCCTCTGGTGAAGCAGAATGGCAAATGGCAGCTACTGAAGGCTGGGATTTCTGCCCCCTCTATCATATTTTCCAAATGCTGCTAGACACCTGCATTCCCATTCCTCAGCCCTCCAGCTGTGGTGCAACATGTGCATTTAGGGATTCGATAGGTAAACACACAGTAAAGCTGTCAGGGAATATGCTAATTTATTCTTTATTGCAAGCAGTTAAAGTGCTGTACTGTGGGCCAACAGCTGCACTGTGCCTTTCCTGAGCAGTCACTGAATCAGCTGAACTCCCCAGGGATGCGCTGCCAGCACACGACTGTTCTGCTGTGCCAAGTGGAGACATATCCCAACCTCAGTGTTCAGCTGAGCACCCCTTGATCCCTGTCCCAGCTCCCCGAGGAACCCCACAGGGACTGGCCCTTGCTTTTGGGTTAGATGCCTTGTTCTAGACAACTACTGAGCTGGCAAGGCTTCAACTGGCACCCCGCTGTCACCTACAACAGCAAACCTTTCCAAGCAGGTGCACGTGCACACCAGGCTTCAGCACAGAAGCTGGCACAATGCACTGCAAGCATTTGTTGGCCCACAACTGAGAATTACCCTCCTGTTCCTTCTCGTGTCCTCCCTGATTTAATTTCCACTGACAGACTGGGAGTTGCACTCCACCTGCTTGCTTGTAATACAGTTAACACCCACCAGATGCTCAGCTGGGGCTGGAGAGAGGATGTGGTCTGCTGATGTTTGTACTGGGAAGGGTGCTGGTGCTGAACTCTCCAACCTCTTAATTAAACTCCTTTTGGCTTTGAGGGGCAACTCCTTACTTAGGAATGGTAAAAATCTTATTTATATAATGCTACATGTGTCAGTGCAGATAAGCATGTGCATCTGTAAGACATGAAAATAGAGGAGGAGGTGGTATATGCAGGTATATAAAAATTGTAGTGTTATCTGCTAGGCACCTGGGTAACTGGAGTAGGGTCATGTCCCCTCATGGTGCCTCCCCTGAAGGGCACTGCACAGCATGAAGTTGGAGATGGTCTGGTAGAACAGCTGGAGATGAGCTCAAGTGAAGCATAGTCAAGAGGTACTACTGCTGCAACCCACCCTCTTCCTTTTTAGATGCTTATAAAATTTCCACAAAAATTACACTTGAAAAGAAGTTTTTTCAGGCTGCATTGCAGCCCAATTATAATGATTAAACTTTGGCTGAATGTAGTTTGGCTATTGAGACCCGACTGGTTAATTGTTATCAGAGAGCCTCAGGAGATGGCAGAATAAGGTTAGAAAAGCCGCTAATCTACACCAGGCATTCCTTGTATTCCCTAGGGTGCCACTGCTTGCTCTGAGCAGTGTGTATTTAATGTCTCTCTTTGAATAAAGAAATTCACTCTCTTGCTCTCCTTATAAAGGAAACATGACACTTGCCAAGCCCAATGAGCAAATGGATGTATTGCAAATCCAGGTTTTGTGGTGGCAAAGGGTAACAGAAGTAGATGCTGGTGTTGCAGTGGGACTGTGGCATCTGTGATGTTTGTCTGCACTCAGCCTTGCCTTTCTTTGTCTCCGCTCTCCTCATTCTCTGAAGGAAAGTGCTGGAGCAGTGCAGAGATACTGTGCATGTAATACATTTGCGTCTTGAACCCTGAGATGCAATACATTCCTACAGCACCATTCTTTATGCAGAGATCTGGGAGGCTAGAAGGGGGGGTGTAATGCTGGGTTAGGATAGTTACATATGGCAAAGGGCCAAGAAAGAAAGAGGTCCTTGTCCTCCTCCTGCAGAGGCACCAGCCTGGCAGAGGTGCAGAGATCTCTGTTCCCCTCTGCAGCCCCATAAGTTAGCTGCTTTCAACCTCTGGGACACCACCCCAGTATGTTTTTATCTTGCTTGTACCCTGTCACCAAGTTTACTGTTGTTGTGAAAAGTAAATTCCTTACTTCTGCACTCATAACCACCCCCTCCTTCAGCTGCATTCATGTTCTGAGGCAGTTTTAACTGTTTTCTACAGAAATATGCTCAACATTCTGTATGCTACCACTCCAGGGGTGTACACTGGCTGGTTCTGAAGGATTGCAGAGCATCACCTGGCACAAGTCAGCCCATTAAGGCTCTATTTGCATCTGTGCTCTGTGTCAAAATGTCTGTTGAGCTGAGGGAAGGGTTCACCTTTTTGGGGCACTGCAGATCTCTAGCGAGGCTCATCAGCAAGTCATGGGAGATGGGATCCACCAAGTTGAGGAAAGTTGCATTTTTGTAGAGCACTTCATTGAGGAATGTTCCTTCTAGTCCCAGGTCCTACAAGAAAAACACAGTCAGTCAGATACATGGGCTTCCTTGGAGCTATAACCATGAGGTGTTTTGAAAACAGAAAGTGAATCCTGTGAGGTGACAGCTGGTTGCTCAGTACAGGAACTGTCCAACAAAGGTGAAGCAGCTGTGTCTGACCCAGTGATGGGGGATGTGGACAGCCAAAGAGCTGAATGAGATGCAGGGTTAAGTTGAGCTAGTCAGCCTAGGGACTGACTGCCTTGTTTCCACCTACCACAGGAAGGCGAGAGTGATATAATTTGAGAGAACTGACTCCAGAGAAACTTACAGTTTTGTCAGCTTCTGTGTGTGAATCTGTTGAAGGAGCTGAGCAGGAAGGCTGGCTCTAAACCTGCTCCTCCAATCTCAGCTTTTCTGGAAGAAGCAAACCTTTCTCAGGTACTTAGATACTGCCATACACCCTGGTGGTGGGTGCCTGACTAAAAGTCCTGCCCATCAGTATGAGTTTAGCTGTGCTTTGAATTTCTCAGTAAGTGCTAAGCACTGACAGTGTTGTATTTTGGGTGCAACAGTACATTTATAGGTAGCTCTACACAGCAGTCATGGGGAGTCCTCTTCCCATCTTCCACACTGTAAGCTAGGAAAACATCTGTGGTCCATGCAACTTACCTGCATGGACCAGGATATGGGGCACCTTTGGACAGGGTGGAAGAAAACTCAGCATCCTTGGGAACAAAAAGCCTCCCCAGGGGACAGATGGGTGATACTGCAAAGAACTAAACTGCTTCTGGCTAAGAGGCAAGCTGAGATCTAATATGTGACAGTTATTACAATCAGGAGGTACCACAGAGCTGGGGGGTCACATACTCACATGAAAATACCCTGAGAGCAGAAAAAAATACCCCAGGAATAGAAATGTAGAATAAAAAAGCTCCCTACTAGGGATAGTGCTGGGTTTGATTCAGTTGACAAGGAGGGCTCAGTTGAGGGAGGAAACAAGTCCTTTGCCCATTCTGTGTGCGGCTTGCCAGGAGAAATGAATAAGCAAATGGGTGCCCCATATGTTCGCGCTGCTCCACTGAATGTGTGCTTCAGGCACCACCCAGTGAAAGATGCACTGAGAGCTCAAAGAAAAAAAAAATAAAAAAGATAAAAAGAGGGAGAAGAAAAGCTGGATGTACACACATGCATCCCCAGCAGGGATGCAGCTATAGCTGGGAGAGATGTGGGATCTTAACCCTAAGCAGCAATCAAAGCCAGTGCTGTATCCAGTCTCTCCTGCTATGGATATGCTTGGGTCGAGCAGAGAGCACAATGCCAGAGACCTGGGTGCAGATCTAGTGGAGAAAGGGAGAATAAATCAAATGCTTTACAGCCCCATCACTCTGGGTACGCAGCTGACACCCATAAGCAACCAAAGAACCCAGGCAGTGGATTAGTCTTGAAGGACGGGCAGCCAAAGACACAGCTGGATGTGGGCCAGGAGTGTACCAAGGCATCATGCCAATGTCTCCCTTAACCGTAAGGCTTCAGGGAAATGGAGCCTCCTACGCCAAGTGTAATAGGCACAGATGAAGAAAGCTGCCGAGAGGATGGCATGGCTGGGCATGCAGCAGTGGATGTCAGAGCAGTCATTAAACTCCCCCAACTGGAGCTATACCATTAAGATGAATCTGCATTGCCATTATAAATCCTGCCTGCAAGGGTTTTGTAAATAATATAGCTATAAATGTTCACTTTACATTGTTAGTCCATAAGTTCTTAGCCCAGGGGCATTTTCTGGTTCATCTTACTTGTTTGCCTCCCTCCCTCCCTCTCTCTCTCTTTAATTTCTTGGAAAATTTTGTACCATCTAAAGAGTGGCTGCAGACAGCAGAAGTCTTGCCAGTTCAGATGGCTTAGTGCTGTTATCTTAAAAATGACACTTGGCCATTATCTCAGCACAGGAAAATCAGATTGTACCAGACTTTTTGCTGGGGTAAGTCTAATGTCTCCCCTGGCTTCAGCTGAGTGTTTCCAACTTAGCTCAGCTTTTTTTTCTGGTCTGTCTTTTGCAGATGGCTATTTCTGAGACTGGTAAGATGATGTGCAATGGAGCTGCCCGAGTGTTCCTGTACAAAGCAAGAGTACGTGAGTGTGCACCTGTGGTTTGCAGTTGTTCTCTGTGCAGTCATCTGGCATCTTGCATCTCTCTTAGAAGATCTGCTTCTGGCTGGCTTGCTTGCTTTACTTTATTACACCTTTCTGACATCCTAGGAGCAGTCCACAGCCCTTTGTGGTCTGTAGACCGCAGGTCAAAAAATTGGCAGACAGAATTACATCCTGCAGGGTACATCTGCAGGGCTGGACAAGGTCTGTCTGTGGGGAGCAGCAGGCTGCATGGAATCGGCAGCCCGTGTTCTCTGGCCTGGCTGAGCACGTCTGCTCACCTGGGGAGGCTGTGATGCCGGTCCCACCATTGCTCTGCCTTCTCTGGGGTGTTTGCACCATGGTCCAAGGCACAGTGACAACGTATGGTGTTAAATATTCTCACTGTTCACTAGAGTGAACAAGATATCTCTCTTTTTACAGGTAACAAACAGACCTTCACCTGGGACACACTAATCCGTGACTCCTGAGAGTGTGTTACTTCCAAGGTAAGCCAGTCTGTGTGAGGAAGGACATGCTGGGGAACAAGCTAAGGGATTAATTTAGTTGAGTGAGGGAAACTGTAAATGAGAAGGAAGGCTGATCACAGTACTCTTTGAAGCTGACATCAGACACGTGAGGAGGGCTGGTTCTGATTACATGACCCCAGACTGGCTGACAGTTGTGTTTAGTTGTTGAAGGGTGTGTGGTATGTGCTAGTGGTGTAGCCTTCTGCCTCTGAAATCTCTGAGTGCACAGCAAACCAGAGGCTTTGGGGTGGTGTTGGATGGGTTCCTGTCTTACTTGGCGGAGGCTGTGTTGTGACTGCAGGATGCATGTCTCGCTGCTCTGTCGTGAGCAGATGAACAGAAGGTGACTGTTACAACATGGATAGGCAGAGATGGGGACCAGGAATAACAAGGGAAACTGGAATGGCAGCAGACAACATGTGAGTGTTGGACATGGTAATTCTCAGCACAGATGTGAGGAAGCCGGGGGCTCAGCCGATCCTGAAAGGAGCTGGCAGGCTGCATTGAAAGCAGAGCTTAGAAATGACCATCTATTCCAGATGGTCTCATGACTGAGCATTCAAACCATGGCTGTTCACAGATGGACCTTTTGGAGACCTCCAAGGTCTGTGGGGGATTCCAGCACTTCAGTCTCAAGGAGAAGTGCTGAGCACTATAGAGAATGACATTCTGTAGCTCTGGCCTCTGGCATACCCTACAAAAGTCTGTTCATGTTACACCGCCATGTTTATGAAGTGAGTGGTCGCCTTTTTTTCTTCTCAAGCTTCTTGTAACAGTGCCTTTCCAAAACTGTCTGAAATCTCATTCAGCCCTTGTCTGCCACACCAGTGCACGTGTACAGGCTTTCAGCTGAGGGTTTATCTGTCTACATGTGTGGCAAAGGGAGTGTTCATGGTGCTGGTAACAATCCTCATGTGAGCGCTAAGGCAGTGGGTAGGTAGGGATGTAATTTTTGGTCCTGTAAATTCTTACTCAAGAGAGTGCAACTTGCTAGCAGCCCAGGGCATTGACCACCACTGCTGGATGTGGTGTAAAACCCGGGACGTTCAGAGCAGAGACAGGGCTGTGGATGCAGCTCCCTGCAGCGGGGAGAATGGCTGCACAAGCGTCCCAGCAAACCAGTCCCTGCTCCACTGCACTCATACCCGAAGGTCACTTGCCACTGTGGTGACAAACTTGGTGTGTTCCCAAGATGAAGTAGATCATTATCTAATGAAGCAATGTGATAAGCTAAGAACTGATGGTGTCTTATGTTCAATTCAGAGGGAGGATTTGTCTCCTGTGCTACTACTGATTGCTGCAGAGTTGCCTGCAGTTTGGGGGAGCTGAGTTTGCCTGGAAAGTGATGGTAGCACTGAGTGATGGAGGAGATGGCTCTGTTCCAGCGGCAGGGCTCTGTCCTCGGCATCAGTTTGGCACCACGCTGTCTGCACACTGGCTTTTCTGTTCCTGAATGGCGGCAGACAGGAACAAGCTCCCACTGATACACTGACCCTTTTACCTCTCCTCTCAGCCTGGCCTGCCCCAGAGGTCTCCAAAACCATTCTGGGTTCTCCCAAAGACAGATTTTGGCCAGCCTGGCTGGGTGGGTGTAATGGGATGTGGTAGCAGTGGGATGGCAGTGGCTTTTCTCGGGGAGACATGGATCCCGAGCACACCGACGGGCTGGCATGGAGGGGTGTGGATGGGGACAGCTGAGGCT